TTGAAGATGGTGCCTCCGAACAATGACGCCCTTGGATAATTTGGCGATCTTTCAGCCCATGAAAATGCAAAAGGTGGCGATCTTTCAGCCCATGAGAGCGTAAATAAGTTGGCGATCTTTCAGCCATGCAAGGTTTAAATGAAAATGGCAATTTTTCAGCCGATGCAGGATTTAAATGAAGTTGCGATATTTCAGCCGTGCAGAATGTAAGTAAAACGGCAATCTTTCAACCGATGCAAGATTTAAATGAAGTGGCGATATTTCAGCCAATGCAAGACATAAAATGGAGATATTTCAGCCGATGTAGGATGTAAATGAAATGGCAATCTTTCAGCCAATGCAAGATAAAGTGGCGATATTTCAGCCAATGCAAGACATAAGAAAAAATGGCGATATTTCAGCCGATGCAGAATCTAAATAAAGGTGGCGTTATTTCAGCCATGCAGATGGAGGTAGAGCTTAACCTCGGAAGGCAGAATGGTAGCCTTATGCAATGCAGAAAATGCAGATGGAGGTAGAGCTTAACCTCGGAAGGCAGAATGGTAGCCTTATGCAATGCAGATGGAGGTAGAGCTTAACCTCGGAAGGCAGAATGGTAGCCATATGCAATGCAAGAAATGCAGATGGAGACAGAGCTTAGTCTCGGAAGGCGGAAAGGTAGCCTTATGCAATGCAGAAAAGTAAAAGACGAATGGTAGTAAAATCTCTTAGCTGATAGCTGATTGCGATATTGTGGCTGCTGGGGATATCATGTACGGATAGCAATTGTGAGTGGGTGTGATGGTTCTGAAGGTCGTATTCCCGAAAAGTATGAGTGTGTATTTGGTGATTTGCAACTTGGGTGCCTGTATCCAAAGAAAAATCGTGAGTTTTAGAGGGGAAAGGTTAGTTCGTATTCCCCGTGGACTTTGCTNCTAAGAAGTAATCTCTGTTGTTTTCATTCAACAAGAACCAACAAATAAAAACATAAGTAACAATAAACGACCACGAGGGGGTATAACTAATGAGACCATGAGAGCAGCTACCATAGCATTATGGACAAAACGTGACCATGCAAAAATTCCTTGGCAATATTTAACTATGACTATTAAGAAATATAGTCAAGAGACTGACAAACTGTTACCTAGTCATTCCTTAAACGGTAACAGGTTATTAGAATGCTTTTTTTTTTATCAGATAAATAGTTATTAGAATACTTCAAAGAACTTGAGCTTACTTTCTTTCTGTATATTGTCAATGAAACATAGTCAAGGGAAAGATCTTAGTCAGCAGATAAACAAACAAAATGGTTAAATCATGAATAGCAGGACTAAGTTGTACGAATGAAACAACTAAAGTTCATAGGCCAGAGCGTATGTCAGATAGAAAGAGATATTTCGGCAATAAGAACTCTCACCAGATGTGGTACACTTCGAGAAAAGCACATTGAAGCTTTTGCTCGAATTCGGGGATTTCTGTGTTTCAGATTAGGTTGCAGCTTCGGTAATAATAGTGATGGAGAAACCCATGTCGTCATAGCTATTAGAGCTTTCTCAGCTGCCTCGCATACAAATCGCTTGTCTTGTGAAGATTTCAGAAGAAGTTGTACAAGCTAAGCAAAGGACACAGTCACATCATGAGCACAAGGGCAAGGTAAAATTCACTTAAGGAGATGGACCAGAAACTATAATGAAAATGCAATCATAAGTCACAAAAAATGAGAATTAAAATTAAAGTTACCAGTGGATCCATCAAGTCAACTATGCTGTCACAGTATGCTTTGAAAATGTCAGCTGATGCCATAATAGCAGTTTTACAAACAGCACTTCTTGGATTTTTCAAAGATTTCACAATAAGAGAGATCACATTTCCCCTGCTCAATTAAGTAGCAAACATAAGTAGGAAAGCATAAAACAAAAGGAAATTATATCAAGATATCTATCTAAACCAGCCAGAACAGCATGATCAAATATCTTTCAAGTTATATCCTCAGTTAGAAAATGTAACTTACAACATATCAACCATTGCTTCTTTGTGAAATATGGACAGACGCCGAACATCATTGAGTGCCTCACACACTAAAACCCAATCCTTGGAGTCTAGTCCAGTCAACAGAGTCTACAAAATGAAAAAAGGAGACGCAACGACATTGAAAAGAGACTAGTGTAATCAACATAAGAAGGTAAAAAGATATACAAATTACTACAAGCCAATATCAAAACTATATCAAGAATCTTTACCTTCAGATTTGTGTCGACATCTTCTACATCATTCAAATTCTCAGATTCTATGTATTCTACTTCTGAATTTCCAATCTCTGCCCCAGTATTCACCTTATTGTCTCCATTAAGGGCAGGCTCAGCCAGTAAGACAGGCTTTTCTCTTTCCTTTTCTTTATGATTTTTATCAATGCTCTTAAGCACCGTCACTGGAACACTCCCATTACAGGAATTTTCATTGTTCTTCCCAGCTTCAGGTAGTGCAGTGAGATCTCTAGCAGCTTCCTCAGACATCTTATAGAGACTAGCTTCTGAAACACCAGCAGCGGACAGGGTTGTTAAGAGCCAAGGAGTGGACAGGGTTGTTAAGAGCCAAGTCAGCAATACACTTAAGCAAACATTATTCATAGCATAAAAGAGGAAAAAGTAACAAAATAAACAGATATCTACACTCCTGGGTAGAACTAACATTTCAACCCAACATTTGTCCTATCAAAATGTCATACTACACATGACCACATTCCACAAGATGGATCTCTGGTCTCAATTGTTCGAGATGGAGTAACATGAAGCTCAGCAACTAGAGTTAAGCAGTGTTAGTTAAGAGCTAAACTAGACTTAGTTGTATAACTAATTATTGGAAAGTTAGTTAGGAAGTTAGTGGTAGTTTGGACAGATGTCAGTGAGCTGTCAGTTAGTTATAGAGGAAGATCATCTGTATAAATAGGCAATTACATCAATGAGAAAACTAGCTCTTTTAATTCTCAATTACATTCTGCTTCCTATGCCACACTTGATTCACAGAAGCTTTCTCTCTCAATCTCCATCGAAGCAAAGCTAGAAGCTCGTGTAAGTACAAGCTGTGAAGTCCAGAAATTAACATCATGAATAGGATGATAGCCCAAGAACCAGTGACCAAAACAGCAAAACTAACAGTACAGACTCATAAATGAAATCTGTTTGCTTTGATCCCAGAAAGACAGATGGCATTGCTTTCAAAGTGTGGAACAACTTTTTGTTGAAGAACTAAAGCACGCTTAGTCAAGGACTTAGCTACAAACTTCCAATGAAATTTGTAATTCATACATTCGAACGAATAAGTGAAATCATTAGCATTGCTCACTCAATTTCCTTGATGGCTTGATCAAGGATAAGGAAGCTAACATACATACGAAAACATAACACTTTGGTTCCTCAACTATTGGGTGTTTACCGCTTTTGGACCTCAACTATGCTTTCTCATATTGTTGTTCACTTTCACTTCACTAACTAGTTCCTTTTTTTTTCCACCGTCCCTTGACTAAATGGAATGTCAAGATTCCTTTTGTTGAAGTTTTTGTTTACACTGGATAGAAGATATTTTCAAACATCTTCAATGAGAACTGAAAATTTCACAAGAGTATAACAGTATCATCAATATTCTCCAAATGAACTAGAGCCTCACATTATCAAGTAAATGATGTAGCAGTAGCTGGAGAAATGGAGAGAGAACATAGTGATGTAGCAGTAGCTGGAGAAAGAAGAAGAAGTAACTTAGTATCTAATGTTTTTTCTATTTATCAGTGACATAGTGGTCTAACTTTTCTCAATGAAGTATCCAATTTTTTATCTGATGAACTTTAACATTGAAAGTTGGACAACATTACTTCACTCCAAATTGGCAGCATTAGATGTGAAAATCACTCAGCCAGTAAATTAAGTAGAGTAATATTGTGAATGTACAAATCACGTCACTATTTACTCAAATCATGCTGCAAAAACATTTTAATGAAAAGAAAAAGAACAGCAAGCGTCAAACCCTAAGTTAAGTCCAAATGATATCATTAGCTTATCTTTGTCTGTCGAAGTTAGCAACACAGCACCTTGAATCACTATTCAAACAATGATTAGAAACATCAAAGTCCAGTATTATTTTTCACTAATCATTACCAACAAATTCCTAGTATAACTTTTTTAACAGGAAATAATCGGTGCAAGGATCTTCACTACTGGATCAGAAGAATCAACTAGAACAAGCATACCTACTAGACAAAAACATTCCAAAAGAGGAACGCAACACGTTTTAGAGTAGAATCGCAAGGATCTCAGCAAGAAAAACATTCGTAGATCGAATAAGCAACTTCAGAGCACAATAAATAAACATATATACTATATATTCCTTCAACAGAGATTCACAAAAATGCAATGCTCAGAGACATCAGTAATTCGAATGTACAATTACTCTTTTCCACAGTTTCACAAACATATAAAACAGTAAATAAACAGTAGCGAAGATAGACGATACCAGAAAAATGTGGCAAATCGAAATGATTTGAACTCTCCTCTTCAAAAGCAAAAGCAGATTTTAACCTACTAAACAATAGAGAATTTGATGTGTATACTGAGAGAAGCGTAGAGAGTAGAAGGAGAAAGAAAAAGATATTTGGAACCGGCGTAAACAGTAGCAGTATGGGACGGCGCTATTTGACACCAGACTTGGGCCGGCAGCACGGGAAATGTACATGTGACCGCGTAGCAGAGAGAGTCCAATGGCATAAATTCGCGATTTTCGTGTTTACAAATTTACCCCTATATTTTGTTATAATTACTTCATCTTACTATAATTAAATCCCCGCTTATGAAAGTTGAGACTTCAATTTGAACTGACCTTTCAACAGAAGGAAAGCAAGTTTTTGAATTTGATGCCCACATCATTTGACGAGGACTGTTTCTCCGCCAATTAATTTGCTTATTTTGTATTTAAGAAATTACCAAAAATAATAGTACTAGGAAAGACTTAATTAAACCATAATGCTCGCATATCATTAAGAAGATTCGAATTTGAAATCGACAATTTGAATTGTGATAAAACTAATTACTCAATAATCTTGTTTACACTAGCAAAATGATTACATAATAAATATGACTGCCGTTAAAAAAGGTAGGTATCAAAAATTGGCCGGAACGCAAATATTGTATTTTTTGGGTTTGTGGACTTCAACGGGATAATCTTGATTGTTGAGATCCACAAATGTTAATTTTATACTTTTTTCTTTTGTCTGATGTTAAATATATACACATTGTTGATGATAAATATATATTTTTTCCTGAGCATAATGATAATGATATACTAGCAACATTGATTTTGTATACGACTACGCGTTAAAAGAAAGCAGGGAATCAAAATTTGGCAGCAATGCCAAAATTATCTTTCTGATCTTGATAGTTGAGATCCACGAATGAATAATATAGAGGTCTAATTTTATTTTATTTTTTCGTTCGGGCTATGAGAATGATGCCTCCGAACCATGATGCCTTTGAATAATGATATGCAAGAGATAAAGGAGTCCTAAGGCCGTGGCATGGCGTTCTCGGGCTTTGAAGATGGTGCCTCCGAACAATGACGCCCTTGGATAATTTGGCGATCTTTCAGCCCATGAAAATGCAAAAGGTGGCGATCTTTCAGCCCA